TAGATAGTGACATTTAATTAATAATGTTCGATTTGTTTTGTTGAATAAATTTAGAAACAAAATGGTAAATTTTATAGTGATGAAAGGTTAAATTTTTATGAGTTATATATATATATTTTGGAAATACTGTATCAGTTACTGTAGCACTGCATCGATACATAATTATAATTCGATGTTTTTGTACATCAGTACACTGTTCACGTACTGTAGCAGTGCATCGGTATACTATTCATTGTTCACGGGGGTATTGTTCACTGTTACTGTTCACTATTCACTATTTATAAAAAATCTTTTGTTTTAAATTTGTTATAATGAAACACATTTCATATGATATGATATTTATATAATATCATTTACCATTTTAAGAAAATAAATTTTAAATCGCTTTTGAATTGTAAAATGGTTTTAGAAATTCAGGTGACATCTAAAATCTATATAGGTATAATTATACGGGTTATGGGTGTTACAGGGTATGTGAGCAAGCTGCTATCATATGAGAGCATGGATACTTCAGAGCTTGAAAAACCCACAGTCGCACGTTCTGTCCCATAGATTTACTCTTAACGACACAGCTTCAATCCCTTGAAGAGGTCACGACAACTCTGTGACACGAAACAATGAATGTGTTCTAGAGTAGCTTGTTACAGACATTCCATTTGATGCAACAAATTTTTTGTAGATCTGCAACTAATCTAGGGAGATAGACATGACCTCCTTGCATCCAAGTTTGAGCTTGTCCCCGAGCTTCGTAAAAAACGCCCCAAACGAAAATATGTAGTTTTTGCCAAAGCCGCTACAGGTAAGTGATGTGCACCCTTTAAGGTTGAATTGATTGCCTCAGCCACGTTGATCGTCATGTGTCCATATTGATATCAACCATCATATGCGTTTGTCCACATTTCTTTATCGATGAGGCTGATGTAATCGAATCCTTCCTCGTTCTTCGCCTGCAAATCTTGAAACATTGATTCAAATGTTTGAGGAAGTAGTTCGTAACCTGATCAAAATATAGAGCTTACTAACTCTGTTTCTTTGCAAAATTAAAATGATCGAAAGATAACAAACTACATCAGTTTCACTTACCCATGCGCACAAGTAATTGACGCTCATCATTCTTCTTGTACCTTCTATGGTAGTTCGCAGCAATGTCAGATACAATACCTATGTTGGACAAACAGTGGTTGTCACATTGGGCCCAAAGACTCAATTGTTGCCTTGATCCCAGCTCCGCGATCTGAATTAACACCTATTTTCCCCTCGTGATAACATGTGAACGTAAGTTTCTGAGGAAAAAAGCCCAAGAATTTGTATCTTCTCCTTTAACAATAGCAAAAGCAACTGGAAGAATGTTGCGATTATCATATTGGACAACTGTCAATAATAAAACTTGCTTGTATTTTCCATACAAGAAAGTCTCGTCGATCTGGACCACAGGCTTGTAGTATTTGACAGCATTAACGCACTGTGGGTAAGTCCAAAAAACCCGGTAGAATTGACATCGATCGAGAAGAACTCGATCATTATGGTATACATAGAGGTTTTGAAGTCCATAGTTGTCCAGGATTCAACCTTTGCACCAGCCTAAACCAACCTGGAAGTTCGTTGTAAGATGCATCTCATTCGCCATGAAGTTTGACAATGGCATTTTTTGCCAACCAAGCTTTTTTTATAGGAGACAGTGTACCCATACTGCGATTGTATAGTTGAAATCAACACAGCAACAGTTATATGAGAGCTTGCTTTTACCATGGGCATGATGGCTTGGCAGATCACTTCAGAGTCTAAGTTGGGATGATCTTGGTTGATCCTCCAGCACAACATGTACAAGAACCTTTGTATATTGTTAGTTCACATATATTGTTTTTCCTCTTCCTCTTCGATACGCAAACCATCCAATTGCATCCGTTTTCACGTCGGGCACAATGACATACATATTTTTCTGTCGTGGAGCGGTCGACTCTGAATTGAACAGAATTACGGATATTGTAATTTTTTATAGCCATCATCTCTTTCTCTTTGCTTAAAAAACTCCATGCCTAAAGATAACTCACCATTATTTATTGATGAGTAATATCCATAGTCACCGAGATGATGCATATCCGCAAATTCTGACCCATACATTGCACCATAATCAGCTTCATACATGTGTGTTGGAGGGTCATTTTGTGCCTCATTTGAGGGAACTTCGTCTACATCATCATCATCAGAGTTGAATTATGGTGATTCTGGGTGCATGAATAGTCCAGTCTCAACGCCATCCGCACCTGGCTCACGAAGTCGTTCTTCTGGTGGAGATGATGGTTCCTCCATGCTCTCCACATTTAGGTCGAAGAACCTACTACTTGCACACTTTCCCCTTGAACTAGAAGGCATATCGACATTGAGATCGAAAAAGCTTGCAGTCGAATGCCTCCCCCTTGAGCTTGAAGTCATCGTATCAAATGGAAACTGCACAGATTGTTGCGTCGAAGGCATCTCCATATTAAGGTCAAAGAAATTGGCAGAGATGTCTTCCCCTTGAACTGGATGTGAAGTTGCTATACGAATTTTCGTGGACCCACCTCGGTACATATCGTAAGGAGTTACTGATGAATATCTCCCCATTGAAGTTGATGGGCCGGCACCATGATGCGGATTTCCCATTATGACATTAAAATCATTACACATTACTGTAGTCGGGCTGTCAACTTGATCAACTTGTTAAGCCAGCCCATAGTAAGAGCTTAATGACTGACCCCGAACAGCACGCACTTGAACAAACTTTTCATACATCTCAATATCGGCGTCTGAATAATTACTTTGAGAATCAACCATCATTTCAACATCATCATTGTTCGATAGTTCGAACGTTGCATAAGCTAATGGCAACATTATGTTGGAAATCTGTACTGCAACGACGACATTCTTCTATTACTTCCAACATGAACCTTCCTCGAAATCTTGTTATCAACTCCTCAAGAGTTATGTTTCTCTTGAATGATATTAATACGCTCATTTGATACGAAAACAACGCCGGTTTCATCTTCTCTAATTTCTCCATCATAATAAACAATAGCTGAAATTCGCGTCATTTTTAGAGTTTAAAAGTGCGACAATATTTTATCTGCAAAAAAAGAAACAACTGAAACAAACCTAATTAAATAAATAATATGTGAACGAAAATATAACACAATAAAATTTTTACACATAAACGTAAATTATTTAAATAATATAATTTTATATTATTACCTGCACCGCAAAAATATTCGACGTATGCTCCCGCTTTCTAATTTCACAAACACGGAAATTAATTGAAAACAATTAGTATAATATTTTTTTTCAAATAATCATGTATAATTATAAAAATATTATAACAAAATTATCTTATAACGAAAGATCGAACGAACTTCTGAATCAATATAAGAGGATTGTCAGGTGTTATTTACTGATTGAAAGGATTGTTGTATTAATTTCTCAATTCAGAGGGAGTTGTGAGAGAGTTTACGGTGGAGAGGGCTACTTATAACGGAGAGACGATGCTTTAAAGATGCTTTAAAGTCGAGAAGTACGGATGAAATTATGTAAGGCGCGGTGCAGGGACCGCGCCTTGCATTATGCATGTGTGATAATTAAAAGGCTCGGCCCTGCACCGCGCTATAGCCCTACGTGGCGTAAGGCGCGCCCCAGGGGCCGCGCTTTAGCCACGTGTATCCAATTCAGCATAAGGTGCGCTTTAGGGGACGTCTTACCCCACATGACTCCAGATCAACGTAAACCGTACTTTAAGGGGTGCGCATTTCTATAATGATGTTAGATCGAGTGGAAATAAAGGCGCATAGGATGATTTATCGAGAAAATCGCCCTGATTTCAGCTATAATGGTTGGTATGGAAATAAATATACTAATTTCTAAACTGTGAGTGATTCGGTCTCTGGCTGTGACATATAGATGGATGGTTGTGATTGGAGGGTGATGGAAGGGTTGCGGGTGAAATTAGTAGTAAACGGAAATATGAGGTGAAGAGGATAGTTGTGTTGCGCCACACTCTAATATAAAGTTAATATAAAATGATTTTAACTTAAATGTTATTATGTGTAATTGAAAAATTATATTACGAGGTTTAGAGTTTTAATTGAAGATATTACAAAGAATGTAACGTATTTAACTTATAAAATTAAGTTTTTAAATTTTTTTATTGCAATCGATTTCTATCATTTCTTAATTTTATATTAACAAGTCATGGAAAAGACACTAATCAGCAATCATCATTAGTAAATTCAGCATTGAATTAAATTAAAAAAAAAGTATTTGGAAGTTTTAGTAGGAAATAAGAATTATTTGTTATATGAGATTGGTTTATTTGAGAAGGGGCCTGTCCATGGACGGTATGGCCGGCATAGGAAAGGAGACATTAATAAAAAACAAAATGGTGGGTGGCAGGACTCGAACCAACATGATATCATGATTGGTCTTCTCGAAAGGGTGAGGCCGGAGACCCAATTATCGTTGCAAATCCCCAACTTCTTATGTACATCCCTACATCCATGGCCCAACTGTCTCTCAAGTTATTTTCACACATATCTCTTCTCAACAATATATTTTATTTATTTTAAACAAAAGGGATAGAAAACAATGGTTAAAGCTTAAGCAAACCATGTTTGATTTATGTTTTGCTCACTTATCTTACAGACGACAATAAACATATGCATGATCAGATTTCATTCATGCTCGCCAACCTCCATTATTATCTTTTCAACTTCCACTTGCTTTTTGACTGTTCATTTGGATCTCTCCCACTTGCAAACCCCACTCTTTGTGGTTTTCATCCACTCTCGTGTCCTTTTTTCACAATTATACATCTCCGTACTTGTTCCTAGTTTTTAGATTATTACAATTCAGCCTATTCTGTGAAGTCAGAGGAAAACATGTGATGGTATTTGACAAAGCGGATAAGATGAGACGATTAATTACTCTAAGCCCTGACAATTCAAAGGTGTAAAAGTACCAGTCAGATCGATCAGTTTTATTTAACAACTTAATGTACGATCTCATACTCTTATGTAGCTAGAAAACATCAAACATGATTGACCATTCATGTACTAGAAAGAAACACACAATTTTAGAAGAAAAAAAAACTACAACAGCCAGGGATCCTTTCCCCAAGACAAAACCATTCTCGCACTGCTGCACACTTCCTAGTTTCTGAAGAGTAATCACCAGCTGAAACTGATTGATTCGAAATGAAGATTATCCACCAGACCGGACGAACAGATTGCTGCGACGTCGTGCCTCAATTTCGTTGGACCGCTAGCAAGAACTCCAATACTCTCACCTTTACATTCAAATATCAATCCTGCATCCAAATCCAAACCATAAAAAATGTGAATTCTAGTTGCTGTAGAACAGGAACTAGTTAATACTTGAATACCATTAGACAAATCTAAATAACTTACTCTTCAAGTCGGGTCTCCCTCCATAGTGAATTTTGGTAGCTTCTGCAAGAGACTGGTGAGGGAGGCTTTCCAATTCTCTCTCACCATTATAAGCCATAATGCTTGGTGATCCTTCTGGTGTTTGTCCTTCCATGTTCTGCACCTGCATTGCTTCCCTAGCATACCTTCTCTTGTTCCAAAAAACCGCTGCACTCGCCGTTGCAGCTATGGAAACACATATTGCCAATATATTCAACACAGCTTGTTTCGAGGTCGAGAATTCGTTCTTATCGTGAGCCTTTGGGTAAATGTAAAACCGTGTGATGATCCCAATTAAGATAAGAAACATGATGAACGAAGACGATATTATGGCACCAAGCCAGAGCCAGCTGTTGGGTCCTAAAATGGCAGCTATAGGCTTATCTGTTGGAAGGGGCTTGAACCATATGGACCGAACTCGTTTCGAGTTATCGATTACGGGTTCTTTCTCCTTTGTCACGTAAGCTTCAATCCGGAGCTTCAGGTTAGAAAGCTCGGATGGTGAACCGGTCATAGGTAGCAAGAGGTCTAGCATGGTGAGATCCAAAGAGCTCTTGAATATAGCAATTAAGATTATATCTGGTGTCTTGCATTGAGATAATTTGCTCATGAAAATCAGCTCTCGGATTATGGATATAAAAGGAGTAATCCCACTGCCTCCACTCACCATCACAACCGTGTCATGCCTTAGGAAATGGTTTGATGCAGGTCCATAAGGTCCTTCAATGGAAACATTGAGACGTTCAATTGAAGACGAAAGCATCCGATACAGATTAGTCGACCAACTTCCTTCACTCTTAATGATCACACTGAGCCTATCAGGCTCCATATTACTATTTGAACTAACTGTAAACGGATGCCATTGCAGCTTAGAAATCCCGGGCACATTCACGAACATGATACTCGTCGGATTATAGGTCAAACCTGGATTTTAAGCAACCATATTAGCAAATTAAGTGGGGTAAAAAAAAGGGTTAAGCTGAAACAAAGTTATTAATTATTACCGTGGGATTTTGCGAAATTAAGCTCCAGAACGTTACAGGGCAAAACTCGAGCTGAAAGTAAGCGAACGGAGCATCGAGATTGTAAGAATCGGAGGTAACGGTCGATGATGAAGAGGTAAAACCCAGGAAGCATGATGAAAGTGTAACCAATTCCAACATGGAGGACGAAGAAGAAGACGAAGATGATGTAGAGATGATGGGTGTAAAAGAAAAGCTCGAAAAATTTTCGCCTGATTTGAGGCAAGGTTGCTGCCCACAAGCCTAGGCCACCAATCAATGATATCTCTCCGGCCACATTTGAAATATCGGAATAACTCCACTTTAGCATCTGAAATATTCACATCAACATGGAAGGACCAAGATTCAAGTTTCTTTAGGGGTAAAATTAAAAGGAAAGATATAGTTTAAGCATAAATTTAGATACTTCAAAAAAATGTACATATTAAATGTGAAATCGGGAGTCTTCTAACGACTAAATTGTAAAGTAAATCAAGTTTAAAACATAATTTATGTTTCACCCTTGTGATATCTTATAGGGATAAATATTGAGTAGGATCCACTTATCCAAATTCGATTTGAATATTACATATTTTTATTCTATCACTCAATTTAAAATTTGATTTGATTTTAAGATAAAAAATCCGTATAAGATCTTATCTAATTTGATTTGATTCAATACACACATATATAATTTATTTATTAGATAAATATAGATCTAATTGAAAAAAAATATAATGAGGAACATAATTTTAATTATATCTAATATCTAAAAGATAATTATAATATTCTAGAATTAGACTAGATATTTTCCCCGTTAAACTTTAACTTAATAAAATCTAACATCATACTTTAAAAAAAATAGTAAAATTTTATCTGAATCTGAAAAAATTTCAAATTATAAATTGGAACAATCCTAATATTTGGTCAAATACCTGTCCCTATAACCTATCCGTAGAGCAGAGGAAAAAGCTAGAAGTATTTTTAGTGCTCCACTATAAGCTATCATACGGCGACGCTGGATACGTCTTTTTTCTATTTTTCTTGGGAGGAAAAATTATGGTTCTTCTTCTTCTTCTTTGTGATGTGGACCACTGGATTTAGGATCTATGAAAACTGAACTTATAATTATAACGAATATTAATTGAATTTATTTTGTTTTTATTTTCGGTTGTGTGTCATATTGTAATCATCATCTCACGTTGAAGTGGGATTCTCTCTCCCCTAAGAGAAGTTTCTTAAACCCTTCTTACGTCCAGTTTTAAAACAAATAATGAAAAATGGAATAAAAGAAGATAACATCTAATTCCCCGTTTAAATCTTTTTATAGTTATTAGGTGATAAAGAACACTAATTACCTCGGATATCTTCCCAATAGCTGCCCAGAAAACAATGAAGCAAACGCCGTGCGCAGTGAAAAGAAGCATGGTCAAGTGTCCCAGCCATATATGGTACTTGATGCTCCCCTCCGACGTTAGACCCAACACCGGCAGCACCGACGATCCCCGAGCCACGGGGTAGAACAGAAACGCTAAACATACATTCCCGGTAAGCCCTATCCACAGGGCAGACTCCACTAACTTCAATTGCCACCTGCCCAACCCAAACACACCGCACCCATAATGTATCATTTGTGGTTTATTTTAATCAAATCGAATCAGTTTAAGCTTACACTTTGATCCCATCTGCCGCCGCCACTTTTGCAGTGAGGGTAGGCAGCCTGTGTAAATAAGTCCCCAGTGTCCAAGCCAGCAGTGCGATAAACATGAGGAAGAAGGATAATTCTATCCCTGAAACGATCCCTAAAGGACCTTTCACTAAAACGGGCCTCCTCCATAGCGCCAGCCACCGTTTTCTTTCATCACGGTGCACGTTTTGGTCGGAGTTTTTCTTTCCCAAGTGAAGATACAAAGATCCCAAAGCAGCAACGAATAGGACAGGGAAAGTCCAAACCAGCATATTAGGAGCTGTAATAATAAGACAACATTACAACAATGTAAAACAAATTACCTTGTCTTCAAATAATATGTGTATATCTATCAGACAAATTACCTTGTTTTCCAAAATATGTGGAAACAACCTTTTCGGAGATGGCAGGCTTCCATTTTTGCTTGTAAGTGTTTGTTGGTGCCATAATCCACATCATACAAATTCCCAGAAAGATTACAGTCAAGAGATGTCTGATTATTGCTCTTACAAATCTGGAATCCATTGGTTTAGAGACAGAAAGTGAGGGTTTAGTCTATGTTGGGAGAATATCTGAGGAGAATATTAATGGAATTGTGATTTATATAGGTTGGAATGTATATATAATTAAATAATTATAAAAGATTACAAAAGGGAATTAGAGAGCATTAAAATATAAGGAAATGCCAAAAAAGGCATGATTCACGTCTTGGGAATTGTAAGAAAGATTGGAATTTATTTTTTAAGAGATTTTTTTTTGGTGTGGCAAAAATCAGGGTGTGAGGAGGAAGTTGAAGGTGACAAAAAGTCAACTCTGAGGCACGTGGATGAATCTACGTCCCTCCAATTGCAAGTTTCATGCAACACAAGAGTATTATATTAAGAGCCTAATTGAGCTTACGCATTTGAAGTAAAGATTACATGTAAAATATACTTATTACCAGTAAGATATCCATGTAAGTATGATTCGGAAGAGACAAGGAGCCAATAATTACAGTTGAAAAGGCAGATTTTGTTTAACTTTGCTTATTTTTAAGTATACCTAAAAGGGGTTTAATATATATATATATATATTATATTTATATCAAAAAGCAATAAATGAAATGTGCATGCACTGACTTAAGCATCTGTATCTGAACCCAAATCGAGAAATTTAGAGGAAAAAATCCCATATATTTTGCCGCCAAGAACATTGAAGAAACGAAAATGCGTAACATTTGTTTGACTGTTGGATGGTTATAGTGAAATGTGGTGAAAGAATGTAACACAAAATATAATGCATCAAATCTCGTGCCCGTACGGGTAATTACATTGGTGGCCATGTGTTTTGTGTATGGTTTTTGTGTGCCAAGTTGCTGACCTATAACATCTTTATTTTTATACAACTCCTCTAATATTGTTATATCTCCTAATTTCTAAATAGAAAAAAATATTTAAATATGTTTAATTATAAATTTTCTATATAACATATCAATAATAATATTAACGAATTAATAAAATTTCAAATACAAATTTAAGAATTATAATTATTTTTTATAAAATTAACAAATTTAAAATTATTTTGATTAAAATTTAAGGTATAGACTAATAGAGAATTAAATTAATATATTTAATTGTACTTATCTCATTCTCCTAAAATATAGGATATTCAGTTCATATCTAACAATATTGATCTATTCTTATTATTCTTTAGTTATTAGTTTAGTATAGAAATCTTTTTGTTGTAACAAACTGATTCTCGTGTAAGCTTATTTATATCTCCTAACATCAATGAAAATATTATGACATTATTCATTCACTCTTACGTTTCTATATGGTATCACGCTGAAGTCGATCCTCAACCTTGCTCACCACTCTTCCGCCAATCCTACCAACAACATCACCATGGCCACTGAACCTCAACTTATTACCATCCCCAACCCAGAAAATCATACCCAAACTCTTCAACTCATAAACATCTCCCATCCATCCATCATCAAATTAACCTCCTCAAATTATCTTGTCTGGAAACTCCAGATTGAAGCCATTCTCATCGGCTATGACCTTTACAAATACATCGACAACACTCATCCATGTCCTCCTCGCACCATCACCACCCAACAATGTTGAAGCTCCAAACCCGGCTTTCCTCCCATGGATTCGACAAGATAAATTGTTGTTTGGCGCACTTGTCGATTCTATCCTCCTCTCTCGTTCCACTCATCCAACAATCAGCCACCTCCCGCGAAGCATGGCAAATTCTAGCCAACACTTATGCTCACCCGACTCGTGGTTACATAAAGAAAATCAAGGACCATATCAAGAAAGCCACGAAGGGATCTCAGTCCATCTCAGACTACATGCAGTATATCAAGTGCCGAACTGATCAACTTGCTGCACTCGGTAAATCGATGGACCATGAAGACATCATTGAGAAGATCTTAGAGGGTCTTGATGATGACTATCGTCACATTGCAGATATAGTGGAAGGTAGGGACACTCACATCTCATTTGATGAGCCTCATGAGAAACTCATCAACAAGGAACTGACTATTCAGCAGACGCAATCTGCTTCATTCCTGCATCTCGTCACGATAAATGTTGCCTCGACCAGGTCTAATCGTTCACATCGCTTCTCGTCGAACCGGATGCAACCTCCACACTCTACTCCTCGACAACAACCATCTCAGCCTCCGCAGGCCACGACTCGTCACCAAAGGCCATATCTTGGCAACTGTCAAGGATGTCGCCAACAGGGCCACACTGTTGCTCAATGTTCCCTCTTTCAGCTAGTACCCGCCCCCTCGCACAGTGCTACTCGCTCCTCGTCCACTTAATCTCAGTGGCACCCAAAAGCGCATGTCACCACAATCTCAGGTATCGAAACCCCGGCCTGGCTTCTCGACAGTGGTGCCTCTCACCATGTCACGGCTGACCTCGGTAACCTCTTACTTCATGCTCCATACGATGGGCCTGATGACACCGAAATCGGTGATGAAACTGGGTTACACATTTCCAAAATTGATTTTACTTCTATTAAAACACCCTCTCACACTTTTCAATTAAATGATGTTTTATTTGTTCCTGCCATGAAAAGAAACTTGATCTCCATATCTCAGTTTTGCAAAACCAATAATACTTCGATTGAGTTCTTACCATCTTCTTTTCGTGTGAAGGATCTACTGACAGGGGCCACATTGCTAGAAGGGCAACCTAAAGGTGGTGTGTATGAATTACTGATTTTGCACCTAACTTCTCGTCCTTCAGTTTTCACCAGTACCAAAGTGTCATCTTGTGCCTAGCATCATCGTCTTGGTCACCCATCCAAGTCAATCCAACGTCATATCGTCTCTAGGTTTGGTTTACCTTCCGATTTCTCTAGCTCTAAGCATTTCCATTGTAAAGATTGTTTCTACAATAAAAGTCACAAATTACCTTTTTCTCAGTCATCTATTGTGTCTAATTCTCCTCTCCAACATATTTATTCTGATGCATGGACCTCGCTTATTTATTCTGTTCATGGTTACAAATACTATGTCATTTTTGTGGATCACTTCACACACTACATATGGCTTTACCATCTCAAACGTAAATCTGATGTTGCCACTATTTTCCCTCATTTTAAAGCACTTGTTGAAAACTTCTTCCAAAAGAAAATAGTCACATTTTACTCTGACAATGGGGGGGAATACATGGGTCTCGCCAAATCCACTGGTCTTGTCACATACTTATCCACACATGGCATTTTACACCTTACCTTGCCACCTTACACTCCATAACATAATGGTTTCTCAGAACGTAGACATCGTTATATTGTTTAAACATGTCTTTCTCTTCTCTCTCAAGCTTCCTTACCACTAACCTTTTGGTCATATGCCTTATCCACTGCCGTCTATCTCATAAATTATCTTCCAACAGCCACTCTTCATATGATCTCTCCCTATCATAAACTCTTTGAGTCGCCACCCAACTATTCCAAGCTTCGAGCATTTGGTTGTCTGTGCTATCCTTAGCTTCGTCCTTACTCTCCCCACAAACTTGCCAGTCGATCTACGCCTTGTGTCTTTCTTGGTTATTCCCTCACTCAGAGTGCTTATATATGTCTTGATCCAAGTACTCAAAAGGTCTACATCTCACGTCATGTTCGATTTGTTGAATCTGAGTTCCCTATGTCTAAAGTTGATCCGCATCTTCCTCGTCCTGATGACTTGACATATGACACATGGCTTCCTCGATATGTTATTCTCTCGGTTTCATACACATCATCCGAAGTTAGTTCTAGTGGCTCTTTGCCAGTCGACTCCAACGCACAAACGGATATGGTAGATCAACAAGACTTGCCTCTACCCCTCTCTCTTCCCTTTCCAGACTCACCTCACACTTCGCCTACTTCTCCAAACACCGTACCACCCCTACTACCCACCCCAATACCTGCTCCTAGCACGTCTCCACCTATCCCTTTGGCTTTACCTCCACCTGCTCCTAATCAAGTATCAGAAATCCCATCACTTCCACCCTTCGTCTGCACCTCACCTATCGTCACCCGTTCCCGAAACAATATCCACAAACCAATCACCAAACTCAGCCTCTCAGCCCAACTTGCCTCCAAAATTGAACCTACATGTGTAACTCATACCTTCAAAGATGGCCAATGGCGACAGACGATGTCCGAAGAATTTGATGTCTTGGTTCGAAATGGCACTTGGGAACTGGTTCCTCTCATTGGTGTGTAAAATATTGTAGGGGTGCAAATGGATTTTTTGACTTAAACGTTTACCTGATGGTTTTATTGCTAGGCACAAGGCTCGCCTAGTGGAAAAGGGGTTTCACCAACGACCCGGAGTGCACTACCATGAGACGTTTAGTCCAGTTGTAAAACCAACCAAAGTTCGTGTTGTCCTCTCACTTCCTGTCAGCCAAGGTTGGGTTCTTCGACAACGCGATGTCAACAATGTCTTTCTCCAAGGCACACTCACTCAAGATGTCTTCATGAACCAACCTCAAGGTTTTATTGATGCTGACCATCCAAACCATGTATGCAAATTGCGAAAGGCAATATATGGTCTCAAACAAGCTCCTAGAGCTTGGTACAATAAACTTCGCCAGTTTCTACTTGCATCTCACTTCCTGAACTTAGTTGCCGACACCTCTTTGTTTATTATTAATGACAAAGGTATAACTATCATGTTACTTGTTTATGTTGACGACATCATCATCACAGGTAACAATGCAGCATCAGTCAAGGACTTCATCTCGGTTCTTGCTCGTCGCTTCTCGCTTAAAGACCTCGACACTCTTCACTACTTTCTTGGTATTGAAGTTGTTCCTCGCCCTCACGGTCTTCTCCTCTCACAACGAAGATACATTGTCGACTTGTTGGTTCAAACAAAGATGATTGATGCTCGACCAGTCGCCACTCCACTTGCCACCTCTCACATCCTCACTCTTCAGTCTGGGACAACACTTAACCTAACTCAATTTCGAGCTATGGTTGGTAGTCTTCAATATCCCTCACTTACTCGTCCAGACATTGCCTATGTAGTCAACAAACTGTCTCAATATATGCATCGTCCGACTACCGAACACTGGAATGCTGTCAAGCGACTTCTTCGATATTTGTGCGGCACCATTGATCATGGCATCATGTTACATCGCCAGTCACCTCTAGCCCTACATGCTTACTCAATGTCGACTAGGCTAGTAACAAAGATGACTTCACCTCCACCAGTGCTTATATCGTCTACCTAGGACGCAACCCGATATCCTGGAGTTCGAAGAAGCAACGAACCGTAGCTCGCTCCTCGACTGAAGTCGGGTATCGATCTATTGCATCAACAGCTGCTGAGGTGAGATGGATAACATCTCTTCTTAGTGAACTTGGATTTCCATCCTCACAACAACCGGTAATCTATTGTGATAATGTGGGTGCAACAAACCTCTGCTCCAATCCAGTCTTCCATTCTCGCATGAAATATGTGGCTCTTGACTTTCACTTCATTCGCGAACAAGTTTAAGATGGCATCTTACGAGTCACTCATGTATCTTCAATGGATCAACTTGCCGATGCACTCACCAAACCATTACCCCGTACACGTTTTCATGATTTATTGAACAAGATTTGTCTCAACTCAAGGTGCTCCAACTTGCGGGGGCATAATAGAGAATTAAATTAATATATTTAATTGTATTTATCTCATTCTCCTAAAATATAGGATATTCAATTCATATCTAACAATATTGATTTATTCTTATTATTCTTTAGTTATTAGTTTTAGTATAGAAATCTTTTTGTTGTAACAAACTAATTCTCGTGTAAGCTTATTTATATCTCCTAACATCAATGAAAATATTATGTCATTATTCATTCACTCTTACATTTCTATATAGACTACATATCTTGCTTATATAAACTACAAGTATCCCTTCATCCCTTTTCATTAATAATTATGCTACAACGCCCACTAACGTTGGTTTTGATTAAGCGGTTTTGAGTATACACTTTATAAATATAATTGTTCGAATTCGAACTCAAACTTTACATGGAGAACACTATGATTTAGTGGTTTTGAGTACTTTCTTTTGGAATAATGCAAAATACTTACAAAAGAAATTTTTTTTTAGGAATTTAACAGTAGGTTATTAAAAAAATAGAGTACGACGCTCTCCTTGATATAACCAGCTCTTCAACATACATTATCAAATGTATCATGTCACCGAAACTACACTGAAGGACCAAGGGAGTAATTAATTTAAATTATGGAGCAACACTGAAACCCTCTCATCGCAATTCAATCACATCTTCTTCTCCGCAAACTCTTACATCAACAACCATCGTGCCTTTCTTCTTTGTCTGCAACACTCTGCAGCAATTCCTTCGCGGAGCCTGCCCACACAGTTTACACCAATTACCAAACGTATAACTGTTATCTTCAATTCGACCAGCCAAAATAATAACATACGTTACCTTGTCCCACAAATGGGGATCAAGCTTTTTATAAACGTGGACTTTCTCAATCCGCGATGGATCCGCCATCTTCCAATTGCACTCGGATCTTGGAATTCGGTGCTGAGCATACTCGCTAGCCGTCTGATTCGTGTTCTTGTTATACAAAGCATTAGACAAGTAGAACACAAACGGTCTCTGGCAAGCATGTTTGGCAACGGGACGTGTGTTGAAAGAGAAGCCGGTGTAATCGGCTCTCTTATGCCAGTTCAAGAATGTTCTGGCCGGCATTTCCAGTTCTCGAACCGAAAATATACCACGGTATATTTGAACCGCATAGCCCCAACTGACCGAGACCGTCCAGCTTCGGGTTTTGTCGTAGCAAACAGACTGTTGCATTATTGCAGCCGAGTCCAGATTTATTGGGACCTTTAGACGTTGAAGGGCTTGAACCCGGTTCACATTCGGGAATATGGGCTCGACCACGTCGAGATGGTGGATGCTGATTAATGGAGCAACAGGGTGCGCCGATAGCAGGCCCAATAGACTACCGTAAACATCGTACTGACAAAAAACAATTATTAACAAAAAATACAGTTAGTTTGAAACCCATTTATTAACAGCTGGGAATCAGAGAAATTAATAAAGAAAAGATGAGCGCGAAGAGTGGCATCAATTAGTTGTGAAAGATGTTGAATGGGTCATCCACCGAGTCAATAAAATGAAACGCGTGTCCATATCCAAGATATTGAGTTAGACCAAGATCGAGACACGTTGTGAGGACCCCATAATTGGGAATTTAAAGAGACGGGAAACAGATTTATTACGACAGACCGGAAGAGGAACATCAAAAGAAGAAGCGACAAGTGTAGCGATGAGGTCCAAATTTCAGAAGTTGTGGATATCAATGCCGTGATATATGCGACGCGCCATAACTTGGAGGCACGTAGTTAAATGTCATCTGTAAATAATACTTATTTATGTTTAAATACTCTCCTAGATAAAAAAAACGATTTATCATTGAATGTTGATAATTTTTAGAATAAAATAAGATGAATTGACCAACTTATTTAAGATCAATTCCCAGAAATTATGCCCAGAAAAATATATGATTGTGTTTAACCATATTTTAAATTAATTAAAATTTATGAACTAATCTGAAAGACTATAACTTCATTACTGGCTAGATTAAGGTTGTTTTTTATTAAAAAAATTAATTCCTACACTCCTAGAGCAAACCCCCTAAAAAAACAAAATTTAACATTCTCGAGAAAATTGTAAATGGTTTGTTTTTACATAATTTTCCTTCTTTAAAAAAAGGAAAAAAATCAAGGGTTTTCACCATGGAAGAATCAAAAACAATCACGAGTTTCGACCCAGAAGATAATCCAAAATCTTAAATCATTTGAATTATTCAATTTCTTTCTTAAATTTCAGTAAAAATGGACGAATATAAAGAAAAGTAAATAAATACATAAAAAGTGCAGACAAACCTGGTGGAATCCCGGTTCCTTGGTGAGGGGAACTCCCATCTCAGCCATACAAGCGTGAATCCGGTCATCGGAGCCGTACAATCCTGGATATCTCTGTATGCATCGGTCTTGCATTTTCGCAAGAGCTTTAGCCAAAGGGTAACTAATGGCAAACCCACCACCGCCATAAGCCATACCATAAGAGAAGTTAATGTTCTGCAAATGACTCTCCGAAGAACTCCCGATGTAATACAGCTGATTATGATCGTACTTCGACAAAACCCTAACCAAATTCTCCGGCACAAAGAAGGTATCATCGTCCCCCATTACGAACCATCTCACGTCTTCAAACCCCAGTCGCAGAGTCTCCGAAACTATGCGGGATATCCTTATGGCAGACCGGTGACCTTTGGGGTTCTTATACTTTAACTTGGATGTGTCACCGGAGATCTTCACCGGCGGTAAAAGACGGTCCTCGTCGGAAGACCCATTCTTCACGGCCTTGTCTAACCAGACGACGCCACGCATTTGCTGGGGCTTCCACCAGAGTTTTATGTACTTTTTGCGTTGTTCCCAGAACCGAGCCGAGGCGGCAATGCCGAAAACGATGTGGTGGAGGTTTGTTTTCACGGGGGGGGTTGAGTTTTTGTGGGGAAGAAACCGGCGGGGGCAGCTCTTGGTCGTTTACTCGAATGGTTCTGCTGATGTTGAATTGGTTATTAGAGGAATTTGAAGCATTGGAGAAGCGTAGTGTGTAGAAGAGGCTGAGAGTTGAAATAAAAAAGATTGAAGAAACTACTAATCTGGGGAAAGTTCGGGCAATAGAAGAATGTTTTTTCGTGGTTTGATCCCATTGAAAGCTTTCTTCATCCTTCCGATGGTTTTTCATGGTCTGGACTCGGGGCTTAATCAGAATAATGGTTGAAGGCTGAGAAAAATCAAATAGGATGTGCGCTTTCAACAGAGAGTTTGTTTTCATCCAACTGTTCAAATAAAGGCAGCAATAGATGGGTTTATATAGTGAATCTGAAATGGCTGACACAGAAGTGAAAACGGCATCGCTTCTCAAAAGAGGTCAATCGTTTAATACAATTTTCTTTGCCTTTTCGTTGTCGAACACGCTTTCCATGTTCTTTTTCGTTTATTTTCATAAGATAATGGTATCCTCTTCGTTTATTTATCTCCTTTTTAAAAAATCCAAAAAAAATAGAAATCCAATAATTATAAAAAGCATTTAGAAAATTCACATTTTTTAAATATATTTTATCAAAAAATAATTTGTTTTGAAAATATTAATTTATTTATATTTTGAAATTTTAAGATAAATAACGTCTTTATTTTAAAATTTTCAACAAAAAATTGGTGTTTCATGTTTTGGTCGGCAATGGCGGTGGGCGTGGAGGCAGGAGTGGCAAGAAGCTCATGAGATATATAATACACCATTTTGTAATGATGATTTTCCGACAATGGAGCTGGTAATGATGAGTCATTCATTTACAAACAAAAACAAATGATTTTCTGTTCTTTATACATACGATGTGTACTTACTTTGCCTTGTTGAGCTAGCAGGTGATCCTGGATAGCCATAGTCCTTGTGCTTGGGGCTTTAATATTGGGTCCAAGAGGCGCTGAGGCCAGGAAATGAAGGGTATTGGAGGCCTTTGAGTACACAGCTATGAGTTGCATAGTAGTCTTATGGTAAAAACTAAAGCATTTCAAAGATGCAGTTAATCAATCATCTGAGCCAGTACGCTTCCGATGGCGGCGCTCAGCTTTATGTTCCTGCTAGACAGACTGGCTCACTGGGAGCCAGAGGAAGAGACTGCTAGAGGAAGAGGCGGATTCGTGAAGAGAATTGACTTTGCATACCATGAAATGGGTGTTTTGGATGAAGGGAACTACAAAACACACGTTGATAACCACTACGATCCAAATGCGTTGCCGGTGATTCAAGGGATCAATTATAGAGACGTCGTGACGAATAATGTGTTGATGGTGGCTAGGTTGGAAGGGATCGAAGGTGACCCTTTTACTCGAATCTGGATATCCAATGTCACGATTGGAATGACTGCAAAGGCTAAGAACGTGCCGTTGACTTGCACCGACATTGATGGGATCACGAGTGGTGTAAGTCCTTGTACATGTGGACTATTACCGGATCGCCAGAGAAACCCATGGCTTGCGACTTTTCGGCAGAGCCTCTGTCCATTGATCAAGTGGTTCTCAAAAGTTGTACCTTTAGGATGAATTACATGTGATGTGCATTATTCAACTTTTGGGTTTGTCATTACAATTGATGAAGCAAAACTAGAATCCGCTGAAAATTCCTAGCCTCAAGAAACTCAGTGCCGAATGGCTTAGTCTGTAGTGCTTCAGGTTGGCAATCACCTGATATGCATCACCTTCGATAATGATGTCCGAAAAACCTCTGAACATAGCGAACTTCAACTCGATAGTGATAGCACTGCTCTCCACCAAATCCAGTATCAAATAATCTAATGGCCTGTGCACACCTCCCAAAACAAACCCCTCTTTGTCCCCGGCAATCACTCCTACTCCACCCAATCTTTCCTCATGGCAGAAAGCACCGTTGACATTAGGGTTGCACAGAAGTCGGATTTCAATATGATCCGGATCGGTTTTTATCCGATCCGATTTTTTCCCATAGAAAAAAAATTGGTTTATAAAATAACCGGTTCGGTTTCTAACCGGTTTGGAGGGCCGGATATCCTAACCGGAGTAACCGGTTTTTTCGTCATCAATTGCAATAAAGTTTACGATAATTGAAATACTTAAATACTTTCAAGTTTGATAAATTCAAATACTTAAAAACTTCCAAGTTCGATAAATTCAAATACTTAAAAACTTCAAGTTCGATAATTGAAACAAAGTTTACGATAATTGAAAAAAAGTTTAAAAATAAACTACATTGCCATCTCTTCTTCATCATCTTCGCCTTCTTTGTTTGGAGGGGATATTCCAAGTTCGACTTCTTCAATGTGTAAGTTTGCTTCCAAATCGACATCAATTGCATCTTCTAGGGTGGTGATATGTTGCTTACGAGCCGCTCCATCCAAATAATCCTTTAAACAAATGCATACTTCCACCGACTCGGGATTTAGTATTGATCTCCGTTGCGATATAACCTTGCCACTAACAGAAAAAGCGGATTCCGAAGCTACCGTAGAAGCTTGGACGGTTAGTAAATTACGGGCCATGACGGCTAGAATCGGAAATTGTGCTTCATTTTCTTTCCACCAAGCCAAAATATCCAAACTTTCAAACTCTTCAAATGCCATTTTTGATAGAAAATCGCATGACATGTAATTTCTCAACTTGCTACTTGGGGTGGTAGTACGTGATCGTTTGGATTGGGAATTTACAAGTGTTAAAAAGATTCAAATTTATGTTACTTTGACGTCTACTAGATGATTCCGCATTCATTCTCATTTGATCGTGTATTACACTACTTGATCCGTATTTAGTTAAATAAATTGCAAACATGTCTCGAAAACATTTGTTAAAATAATTTATTTGGTTTTGGACAAAGTTGGGTTCATCATCGGTTAGATTAAAAGCAAACGCAATTTGTTCAATTAGTGTTTCAACCCCGCCAACATTTAACGTTGGGTTTAAAGCGGCGGCACAAGTAAAAATGGGGGGAATCTCCTTAAAATATTTTAAAAGTTTTTCCTTCATTGCAAAGCCAATTTCTTGAAAAAACTTCGGTTTCAAATTCAAAGTCATTTAGTCGGGTAGCCAACAAAAATATTTGATTAAGAACCAACGGGCTAGTAGGGTAATAAACACCAGATAAAAAAGTTGTTGCATTTTTAAAAACCCCAAGCAAATCAGTTATTTTGGCTATAATTTCCCAACTCGAATCCGGATAAATGTTTGGGACATGACCCCTCTCGAAAAGCCGATCGTGAAATGTTTGCAATGTTTCCCTTTGCCTTAAGGCAGTATGCATCATCATCCAAGTTGAGTTCCAACGAGTTGGACAATCCAAATTAGGATCCAAAGCTTTTTTATTAACGGACTTACAAAATCGTTTATAATCATTTAGTCTTTTGTTGTTGTTACAAAGAACCGATTTTATCATTGTTTTAAATTCTAATCTAATCGACTCAATAACCTTCAAACCGGCTTGCACGGATAAATTAATTATGTGTGCAATGCAACGGTTATGAAAAAACGCACCGTCTAAAATCGGTGAAAGTAATATTTTCAATCTTGGAACCGCGTTTGTATTATTCGATGCATTATCAAAGGATATAGAAAAAGCTTTATTTTCTAATTTATAAAGACAAATTACCCTTTTTAAAAGTGTAAATAAATTAGCACCGGCATGCGGCTCACCGAATAATTCAAACGCGATTGTTCTTTTCATCATTTGTCAATTATCTTGATCTAACCAATGTGACGTAACGGCTAAAAAAGAATTTCCGGTATTATGAGGGGAACTCCAAACGTCACATGTAAGCGACACATCATAACGGTGTTCTTGGAATCCTAAAATCATTTTTTCCCTCGCCGTACGCCACATTTTTATAGCATCTCTTCTAAGGGTAGTACGACTTACTTGAGTATAACGTGGTTGCATTAGTTGTTGAATTGTTGTCGTGAAATCTTCATCATCAAAGTGGTCGAACGGCAATACTTTTGTAATCACGAACTTTGTAAACGCTTCTCGTAATTTTTCGTTGTCGTAAACAAAAACACCACCTTGCGGTGTAAGATTCGATTGACTAGGATCCGATCTTGAGCGAAGTGCCTTGCATGATTTTGTCAAATGGTTCTTCAACGTTGTGTTTCCTTCCGATGCAAGCAACTTTAGACAAAGTTTACAACGCGCCCTCCTCGAGCCATTTGACATCTCACATAAATCGTAGTGATCCCAAATATCTTTGTTTCGAGTGTGTTCGATCACTCTCACGACTTCAAGGTTTCCCCCGACGGAAGATTCAGCCGTGTTACTCATGATGAACAAAAAATTACAAAAATAAGATTTGAGAGATGTTTAGGTATTGTGTAATAAGATTTGAGAAAGTTGTAATCAACCAAATACATCCCCAACTTATTTATACATGTTTAGGGTGATAAAATGGTAATTTTTTAAAGAAAAAAACGGTCAAAAACGGTCACAAAACCCCCCAACGACTATATTAACGGCTAATTTTTTAAACCCAAAGTGATTTTTTTTCGGATAAAAACCGATTTTTTAATCGATTTTTTATCCGGTAAAAAAACCGGTCTAGGTTTTTTTTCCCAAACCGGTTAAAATAACCGATTTAAAAAAATCCGATCCGGTTAAAAAAAACGATTTTTCTCAAATCCGGTTTCGGATATTTTTTTCGTAAAATCGGATATTCAGATTTTTTATGCACCCCTAATTACATTGAGCCTAACCGTGCTACCTTAAATTGTTTGTATTGCCATTCCGGCAACACGTGGGTTCATCTCAGAAAGCTAATTTAAAATTGCCTTCATCAATTCCTGCGTCATATCCCTAAATCATACAGAGATTAGATGTTCTAACATTCGATGAAATTCATGGCGGGATCATATACATTACAAATTTAGAACTGCACTAAAAATTCACGACTCAGAAAGTTATACAGTACGCATGTTAAGAATTACCTAAAAACTGCAGGCAAAATCGGTTAGAATTGCAAACGAAAATATATGTGAAGTACTGAACATTTGCAAAGAAATGAGCCTTTTATATAAATTTTAATATAGGACAAGGATACATGTACAACCAAATGATTACTATCATAAGACACCACCTTACAACTCGCACAACTCATACTAGTATAACCCAACGGTCATATATGTCAACAAGTTAGGAAACAGAAGGCCTCATACCTACACCAACTGTATACGGAAGGGTTTTGCTTCATTACATTCATAGGATTCACCTCACGAGTTGCTCTTTCACATTTTTCCCTATCATTGAATTT